AAAGTTCTAAATACAAAGAAGTTCCAACTGCAATACTTATTCCTTATCTATTACTGGCTGGTAATTCCTGTTTCACACTGTACTTAAGCTGTTTTAGAGGAACGTCGAAATTTCTGTAAGAAAACCAAACTTCGAGAGGTAACGATAATCTCGTTAACACTAGAATTGTTTGGTTTTTTATTACTAGTAGTTATTAATAATACTTATAAAAGCGGATACTCCGCTTCCAACTATGTCACCTCAGTGAATTTGGTTGATACCATTGTTTTGATTATTGAGTTATCATGTAATAAAAAAGAAGCAGAAGAAAGAAGAACAAGAAATTCAAACTTCTTGCTATGATATTTACAGACATTCCCTGAACTTGTGACTCAGTCATTACATCGATATTGTTGTAAAAGGGAACACTGTATAATATTGTAAAGTTCTAAAGACCTATTGAGGAGATATTTAAAATACTATTTCGATTAACAATGCGAGCCATCCCTATATAGGCAGTGCTGCCACCTGTCTGATATGTAATAATGTCTTGTGAAAAATTGCATGTCACAAAAAAAGATAACCGAATCAAATTTTTCTTTCCTTGGCGTGTTTCCTGCTTTCTTTTACTTGTTAAATAAAAGTTCTGGAAGCAGTATTCACTTATTTATATATTTGTTGCCTTTCAAAATTCAACTCGAAGTAACAGTAGCTTATAAATCGAAACTGCCTTCGTTCCTTTAGAAACTTGAGGAAAATAAAAAATATTGTTTTGTAACTGTTCTCTTTGTGGTAGTAATCAATGTACGCAAGTACGTATTGTAAGTTATAAGGCGTATATCCTTTCCCATAAGTTTTCAGTAAATTGAAAATAAACTTTTAACGATCAAATAATATAAATTACTCGAAACTGAATGAAATTTCTCAATAGGTCTAGTATTACATTATTATATTATCTGTCAGAAAGGATGTTGTTATACCCCTTGCTTCAATTTTATATCCCTGAAGGTGAAAAATATGTTACCATAAACACGACATATGCCCCTGAATATTATAGATTAATCGTTATTTTTTCTATAATTATTGATTTCAAATTAAAGATTTATGTTAAGTTTTCGTCACGTAAGACACTGATTTATTGTTACGAATTCTTGGGAAAATTAATAAGATTCTCAAGTTAATTAGTGATCTTTATCATGTATCAAAGCCGTGGCATTTACTGTCTTCTAATGGATATAATACATTTTGGCAAAACAAAAGCAAAAATGCTCTACAAAGTTAAAAAATAAATACGATAGCCAATTCAACAACTGTAATGCACATGATAAACTAGTGTCAACACTATTATGGTATAAGTCTTTCAAAATATACAATTACCAGTTTGTTAGAAAATGCTAACTCAATACTCATCATCTTTACTTCCTGCTCATGAAAACTTTCATGAACGAACCCAATAGTTACGTTTATCATATTTATGATGCCAAGTTTAGAAAAGCATTATTTATCCCTGTTACGACATATAGTGTGATATAACATCCCATTATAACTTCAACCAATTCACAGCTAATACAAATGAGCTAATGCTCTGAAATACATTTTTATAAACGTAAGTGCAAACTGCTCTTAGTCAGCAATAAAGCGAAAACTTGTAGATATATAACACAGTACCTCCAGCTCGTACTTCAAAAGACGTCTTTTAGTCCGCAACTTCATTTTTATCTTCAACTTATAAAAGTATATTGACATCTAAGAACAGCTGCTACGCTAGTTGAGAATAATTCATTCCTTTATCATCGGCAGCTGTTAGTCATCTGGTAATACTGAAATAGCTTCTCAGAATAAACTGTTGAAACTCCTGGAAGTCAATTTGTCTTTTACCACACCCCGAGCTTTTGTAGTTTACTAAGAAGTGATATGTGCAGAACTGTACATTTGACAACCATAGGAAACTATAGACATGACTAACATATTTCAACACTGAGTTGTTACTACTTCTCTGGGAAATAAGTGACGACACTTAGAAAACACTTCATACAAAATGCCAACACCACTGTATATTCCTCGATATCTGAAAACTGATAAATCAGAAACTATCTATCCAATATAGAAAGCTAGCTGTGATTAGAATATGTTAACAATCAGATACCCGTTAGTCAACATTGTGATAATGAATTTCAGGAAACACACTAGTATTGTTACCTTCCTGAGCACACGATTGACATGATGCCCCCCCCCCCCAATAAGTTGTTGAAAATCTAGAACCTGTTGAATTAGATAATACGTACACTCAGGGTATTTTTCTTTAAATCACAGATGTATGGCATTTCATTACCACGATACTCAGCAAATACGAATTCCTGATTCTGAAACTCGTGTTACAATATTTCTATCGGCTAACTATGATAAAATCACACTATTTTTGCTTTTATATTAAACATTATATTATTTATAACTGTGTTTCTTTTTCATATGTGATAGAAATACTGCAGTAAAACGAAACATTAGGTATATAAAATATGTGCATTTTTTACTTTTGGTAAGGACGTAGTATTAGGTTCTGCTCGAGGACAATACTACAGCATTATTAGGTTATGCTTGAGGACAACACCAAAGTGTCATTAGGTTCCGCTTGAGGACAATGACACTTGGTGCTATTCTCAAGCATAACCTAATGACACTTTGGTGTTGTCCTCAAGCATAACTGAATGACACTTTGGTGTTGTCCTCAAGCATAATCTAATAATGCTGTAGTATTGTCCTCAAGCAGAACCTAAGTGTTGTCCTCAAGTATAATCTAATGAAACTCTAGTGTTGCCCTCAAGTAGAATCTAATGTCACTCTAATGTTGTCCTCAAGCAGCACTCGGGTATTTATGCTTCCTGGGATAGTCAGTCTGAGTATGATAGTCTGGATAAAAGAAGTGTTTGTATAGTTGTCCACGTAATTTATACCTAATTGTATTCTATTTTATACAGATAAAATAGTATACACAAAACTAAAGCACATGAATCCCAACAGGTATTTTAAACGTTTAATGCGAGTCGCCCACGACATCGTAGTTTATACCAAGTTGTATTCTATTTTAGATAGATAAAATAGTATACACAAAACTAAAGCACATGAATCCCAACAGGTATTTT